CGTGCGCGAAAGAAAACCATTTCAGAACTTTATTTCCTATATTGAATGATGATAATTGGATGTATTTATAAGTCTCTCTGGAAGAAAACAGCTTGTGATTTCAAGATGAGGAAACAGTCTTCCAAACAGTGAAAAACAATATATTCCCCATTTTCACACACACACACACACACGAGCTTGTTTCCTCTGCTGTTTTTAAGGTGCTGTTGGAATGATTTGCCTTTCCAAAGGCATCGTTCCATTTCTCATCTTGAATTGCCTCGTAGACCCTGGCAGAGCAGTCAGAGGGGACCACTTCATCTGAGCCGGTGACGGGGCTTCCTGGGGAAGGCCCCGGGGCTGCTGCCCACCTCTTTTCTGCAGGAAGATGGATGCCCAGGTGGGCCGGCAGGGCCAGCGAGGGCAAGAGGAGTGTGAGGTGGCATGGGGGCTCCTCTGGGGGGCTGAGGGATGATGGTGACAGTTGTGGCGTGGCCTGGAGGAGGCAGCCAGCCAGGCTGGCCCCAGGAGTCAGAGAGCGACGGCTGCTGCTGCTGCTGCTGTTGCAAAGGCTGAGGGCTGAGAGCTGCCAGAACCGTGATGGAGAGGCGGCCTCCTGGGCATTTCATTTCCATCACGCGCCTTCCTTCCCCACTCGGGAAGAGGTTGGGTTAGATGATACCACCCCCGCCTCCCCTTTCGCACCCTCTCTTCTTTCTGTTTGGTCTGTTTCCTGAGCCCTGTCTTCCATTGTCAGAAAAAGCAAAGAGTCACAGAGACCTCACATGCCACCCTGTGTGGGGTGTCACCCTCTGAGGCTGGTGCCCCCATACAGTTGGCACAGAGCCTCTTGCTAGCTCCTCCGGCCCCAGACATGGACTCGGACCCCGCTGCTCTTCTGCTCAGAAGTCCTCAGTAACCCCCTAACTCATCACACACCCTTGCTTTAGGCCCTCCCAGATGGTGGGCTCCTTGGGGATGATGCTGGGGGCCCCCTCTTCCTCTTCTGCTCCCAGACCTCCAGGATCTGCATATGGCACAGCTTGATAGCGGGGGCAGAGCCAGCATCCAATGTGGTGACACAGAGCCTTCCGGCAGACCAGCGTCCTCAGTATGTCGTAGAAGATGGAAGGTGCCCAGGTCCTCCAGGTCTTCCAGGGACGCTCCTGTGAGGCCCCGAGTCAGAGTCTGCTGCTGCGAGTCAGAGTCTGGCTGCTGGCCACGTCTGGGCCAACCATCTCCAGGCAGCCAGCTGTCAGTAGTGTCCATGGAGCTGCAGGGGCATGCTGCCTGGGTCAAGCAGGGTGGGCAGAGCAGGGAAACCTGGCAGGACATGTTCTCACAGAGACAAAGGGAGCCCTGGGAGCTCCAAGGAGAAGGTTTCCTGGGACCAAATTCCTTTGTGGGCTCTGGCCAGGGCAGGGCACTTCTCGAGAGCCACAATGCCCCGGCCACCGGGCCAGCAGAGTGCAAACACCTCTCAGCCACTTGTAGGTCACAACGAGGGGTGACTATTTCAGCCAAGGGTTTGTGACCTCAGAGGGGACGCTGCGTGAGGCCCGAGAGTGCTGGCTGGAGCTCTCCCTTGCTGATTTATACACTCTCGCTCCAACCCTCTAAAATCAATCTTTCCCCAATTGCCTCCTGGCTCCCAGCAGCGTTCAGGGTCGGCCCTGCATGAGTAACTATGCAATCTTCTCCCATTCCCAGGGCTGCTTCTCTTGGAGCCCCTGCCAGAGCCCTGATAAGGAGGGGGTGAGAGTGGGGACAGCCCTGCCAGAGCCTCTGATGGGAAGGGGTGAGCAGTGGCGAGCAGCCCTCTGTACCAGGCTCACTGGCAGGGTAAGCCCACCATCCAGACAGACCTGGGTGGGCAGGAATTAGGGGCAGCCCTCTGCCTCCAGCACTGCCCGCAAACAAGGGCACCCCACTCAGTCGGTAGGTGAATTCCCCCTATTATTTTGTGACTGTTTAGGATAATTACTTCTTTTTCATATTAATAAACACTCAGAGCTGGCAGCTGGCTTAATTCTGACATTATTTTCTGTCAAAAGAAAAGGTGGAGGGGTGGCGATTAGCTCCAGGGCAGGTTTTCCTCCCACAAAAGAGCATGAGAAGCTCATTCTTCTCACTCTTTGTTGTTTTTAAGAAGTGTCTCTTATTAGAGAATCAAGTTTCTCCAGCTGAAGGTGGAAAACTGCTAATGGAAACGAGGGCGGGGGAGTCCAAGTTCTCAGAAAACCGTGCTGGGCAGTGGGGCATGGGGCTTATACCTCTGCTCAGCTCCTTGGAAACTGCCAAGAGGGCAGATAGGTCCTCTCTGGGGTCCCTGAAGAAAGTGGGAAGTGGGAGGAAGGATGGGGGTCCCCTCCTTCCATCAAGTCTCCTTGGCTTTATCTGGGTGAGGGAGGTGGGAAGGGCTGTTTGGAGGAGCTGCCGGCCTCCTTACAGCTTTGGCCATTTTAGCTGTGCCACAGGCTGAAGATGCCTGGATGTTTGTTCGTGAAGTCCAACAGCAGCCCCATGAGGCAAGAACCATTAGCTCCCACCTGACAGATGAAGAAACCAGGGATGGCGCTCGGACATGAAGCAGGCACGCTTCAAGTCACCCACCTGCTTATGCTTCGACTTGCCCTTTCCACCTGTTTAAGGGGCTGCTCTCTTCCCAGCTTTGTGGGGGCAAACAGCAGCTGCTTCTGTCTCACAGTCCCTGGTGGTTCCCTAGCTCAGCCACGGTGACCCACATCCTGATCCTGACAAAGAAACAAGAGGCACCCCAAATGCCAAACAGAAGCTACTTCCAGCTGTGAGATAGCTACGGGCTGTGGGCATGTGCTGGGCCCCTCCTCCTGTCCACCCACATCTGCACGGCCTCGTGTGGCCCAGGACTCAAGGGGTACCCCCTCTCACTAGCCCTGGGCCCCTTCCTTTACAGAGCGAGTGTGAGTCACTCCCAAGTCACTACTGCATGGACTCAGCCCCTGTGTGAACTTGGGTGAGTTATTTTGTTATAGCCACGCTTTCCGGGAAACAAACTCACTCAGAAGGACAATACAGATAGTGGAGTGCAGTTTATTACACCGGCGGGCCCAAGGCAGAGTCTCCTCTTAGCCAAGGGCCCCGACCAGCATTTGTGAAAATCTTTTATACCCCATGTGTACTGTCCAAACCCACCACCCCAATCCCTTGATGCTTACAAAGGAAGGGTAATAACCCCATCATTCACATTCATCATTCACATTCATGTTATGTGTTAAAACAGTTAATAATCAATAAGCCTGCGGTTATATTCCAACCAGTTAATAACCGATAAGCCTGTGCTTACATTCTGATAGATACTGTCTGGAGGCAGGGGTGATTAGTGTCTGTTTTCTCTTAGGTGATGAGTAACCTGGATATGATCTTCAAGGTTCCCCTGTCCGGAGGGGGTCTTATCCTTCCATTGTCCTTCCCACAGGCACTAAGCAGAGAGTTCAGAGTCCACTGGAGAGGTGGCCGAGCACAATCAGCACGGACAGGCCTGAGATGGAGTCCAGAACCTATGAATTCCTTCTTCAATTTATCTCTCTGGGCCTCAGTTTTCGCATCTGTAAAATGGCATTAAGGACAAAGCCCACCTCACAGTGCTCTTGTGAGGATTCAGTGAACTGACTTTCTCAAAGCACTGGGGCACAGTAAGCGCTCCATACCTGCTAGTGTTACTATTATTCTAAGGTACCAACAGCATAGGGAGCTGCCTTGCGTCAACTACAAACTGGCACTTACCAAGAGCATTGCCAACAACGGAATGACAAAGGCATTTTCCATCTACCGCTACGGAGATTGAACCCCCTGCTGCCATAGCTGTGGACCTTCAACAACCCCTGAGGGAGTTTAAGGTGGAGTGAGACACTCCTTGCTCCAGGGAATCTGGTGGGACAGGTCTTTAGATAGCTGGATGTTTTTAGAAAGATTTTATGATCTCAATCCTTGCATCTCCTCCTGTTTAGAGAAGCACTGAGTCCCTTCATGGTGACATCAGATCCTCATGAATAACAAAAACCCTTTTGTAAAATGAGTGCTTCAAGTTATTAAATGCCCCCTTCACCAAAACCTTATATATTGACCTTCCCCCACTGCTGCTTTGGAGCAGTCTCTCAGAGCTATCTGAGATGCTGCCTCCCGGGCTGCAGTCCTCATTTTGTCCCAAATAAAACTTAACTTGTAACTCTCAAGCTGTACATCTTTTTTAGTCAACACTTGGAATATTTACTTACCATCCCCCTTCCTGCCCCACTTCTCAACTCTCTGGAGGACCCTGCACCCAACAAGAGTGCACAGCTGGGCAAGGGTGGCAGGTGACCCTCTGATCGATTCTCCATCCTGAACTGTGCCCTCCCTGTGGCCACTTCTCCCTAGCCCTCCTCACTGGCCGCCCTGCCTTCAGGTTCTTCTCCACCCTGCAGTTGAGCGAGCTCAGAAAGGTCCCAACAGACCTAACTCCCTAGCCCCATTTTCAAGGCAGTGCAAGATCTGACCCTTGCTCACCTCTGAGGCTGCACCTCCCCTCTCTCCTGGACACTGAACTTTCAGGTTACTTCAATTGCCCTGGCCTTTGCTCAAGCCATTTCCCTTCTTAAGCCAACAACTGTCACCTCTGCCCGTCACTAGACTGGGTCAGAGGCTCCTCTCTCAAGGTGTCTTTCCCCCTGGGCAGGCTGGGACGTCGGGTGAAGGGCAGAATCAAGGTATTCACTGCCTGGGGTATGTTCGCTTCTATTCTGGAAAGGCCTCTGTCCGCACCCCAGCCGCACCCCTCGCCTGCAGCAAGAGGCGGGCGACCAGACAGATTCTCCACCTCCTCCAGGGCTCCGCCCCTCCGGGTCGGGGGAAGCGCTTCGCCGGAGGGTACTGGACAGGGGCTCCCGGCCCCGCCCATCCAGCCCCGCCCTGGCCCCGCCCATCCAGCCCCGCCCCCCGGAGTGGGACCTGGTCGGGCTCAGCTGACGCCCCACTTCACGTGACGCTGGAGCTGGGGAAGCATGGCGGCGGCCACCGGGTGAGTGCTGCCGCTGTCCCTGGCCCTTGGCCGGCGGCGCGGAGTGGGGGACTTGGGCCTGCCTATTGGACAGCGGGTGAGAGCCCCGAGCTGCCAGGCCGCGTCCCCGCCGGGCGTGCAGTGAGGCCGTGGGCAGCGCGCTTCTTCGCGCGGGTCGGTCCTCCGAGCGCTGGGCATCCGGCTGCGAGTCCCCTCCCTGGCCGCTGCCCATTGCCCTCAGGGCCGCCGTGGCGCTCAGGCCCCACCCGTGTGTGGCGTCCCCACTGTGCGGCCGAGTTGGGTCTCGGATCCACGCGCGCGTTCAGTCATGGAACTCCGATGGGAAGGCGGCGTTGCCAGGGTGCTGGGGTCCTGGGGATCCGGGGAAGAGGCAGCATTTGAGATGGCCTTGGAATCCTCTCCCCTAGCTAGGCAATTCCACTCTTCAGGGCCCAGATGGAACCTTCTCAGAGAAGCCTTCCCTAAGCACCTTTCCCACTCTTAGCACCACTTGGTTAATAATATAGTACCTTAAAAAAAAAAGCAACCCAACGAACCTGTTCTTGTCCTCTCCGTTTAGAGTGTGAGGTCAGGGCCTTTGTCTCCTTCACCCCTGGGCCTCATTTACCTTGCATACATGCCTCATAAATCCTGCCCAATAGAAGAATGGTGAGTGGTCCTAGTGGAAGGAAGTGTGGACAGATGGGCTCACTGAAGCATTGGAGAGTGTAGATGAAGGAACATTCCAAACAAAGGTTGAGAGTGTTCTGGGCACAGGGGACAATGGAGTGTGTCCCTGTGCTGGAGAACACGGTGTCTCAGCTGGCTTTTCTAGACTTTGTCCTAAGGGACTGGGACATTCCAAGGGTTTTAATCTGCTCAGATCTGCCTTTTAGATAACTATCTTCTGAGCTATGGGTGAGTTCTGCCTTTTAGATAACTATTTCCTGAGCTATTGTGAGTTTAGGGCAAGACCTGGACCTGGAGATGCTGGGGCTGGAAAGGGGTGTGGTAGATAGAGCAAAGGCATTGCTCTAGATGCCAGGCCAGAACTGAGATCAGAATGGGGAAACTGGTGGACTAAATGGGCGTCTCTCTTTGGAAGGTAGGGAGAATGGCAACAGAAAATGGCCCCCGAAGTTGGGAGAGCTTAGGACAAACAAACACGTTATTACAAATCAAACACATAATAGGACCCTGCTGTATTCCAGAAAGAGTACTGGGCCTACCCTTAGGTGTTCACGGGCCACCTGGGTAGATGTCATCCATCTGTCCGCCTCTTGATGCCTTGGACGTGCACGGGTTCTGAGCTCAGGGTAGAGTGTGGGTGGCCTTCACTCCCTGGATGGCATTTGTGCTAGTCCTTGAGTACCCCTCAGGCAGATAACTAAGTCTCACATGAATGTCATGGAATCCAGGGTCAGACCCTTGAACCCAGCCTGTGACCCTGTCTTAAAGCGCACAGTGAGCAGTAGGTGCGGGCCCGTGCCCAGATGTGGTTCTGTTACCATTGTATCTGGGCCACTATGTGGTCACAGGGAGTTCCAGTTGCTACATTTGGGTTCAGGGCTCCATGCTGGTTTGAGGTCTGTGCTACCAAAGGTGCAGTGAGCCAGGCTGGTGATTGGATGGGCATGAGCCTCGAGCTGGCTGAATCCTGGAGGGAAGGCCTTTATAGCAAAGCTGATTCTCTGGGCCATGTGCAGTAAAAGCTGAGTGACAGAGGTCTTGGAGAGGTGGGTAATGGGGAGGGAGACCTGCGAGGTAGCTTCCAGAGCTTGATAGGCCCTCCTTGGCAAGAACCACCCCAGGCTGGTGTTGGTTGCCCTGCTGGACACTTGGAACCCAGCAACTTCCTTAGGTGGAAGAGGCTTTGAGTGTGTTTCCAGCAAAGCTGTGTCCTAGTATGTCTGGGGACCTTGAAGAATGGCTTTACTGCTGTCGTTATAGTTCTTCAAGGTCCCCAGACATACTCAGAGCAGATCGGAGCATCAGGCATAATGAGGCACCGCATCACCAAGTCATAGCTACAGTCTCCCCAGCAGTTGAATTTGGTTGCTTATAGAGCCCTCCCTGAACATGGAGCTTCCCTGGCAGCTCAGTGGTAAAGAATTCACCTGCCAATGCAGAAGATGTGGATTTGCTCCCTGCATTGGGAAGATCCTCTGGAGAAGGAAATAGCAACCCACTCCAGTATTCTTGCCTGGGAAACCCCATGGAGCCTAGTGGGCTACAGTCCATGGGGTCTCAAAGAATTGGGCATGACTTAGTGACTAAACAACAAGAGTCCTTCCAGATCCTGGGCCCCGGGAGGCCAGGAGACCCAGGTGCTGGTTTGTGCTCCATGTGATCTGGAGAGCAGTGGAAGCCCTAAGGTAGTATCTCAGGTTCAACTGGAAACTTGAACTGCTCCTCTGAGGAGTGTTTCAGGGTTGATCCTGCTTTGTCCTACCAGCCTGGGCGAGGACTTCAAGATTGAGACAGAGGGTCCCACAGCCCCCAGAGGGTCTGCTGTGAAGTCACCTCCACACCCCCGTCCATCCCATGACACTTGGTGGAAGGTGTCTTCTCCTTGAGTAGAGATGAGACTGCTCTGCTGTAGCCAGAGCTGCTGAATCGGTACCCCTCATGGCTTTTTCCTTTCTCCTCCTCCCTCTGCCCACTCACTGGCTGGCCCTGGACCACCCTCATCCTCTCACATACTGTTCTCACACTTGCAGGCTCGGCTCAGGTGGTTCCTCCTCTTAGAAGCCTTTCCTGACCTCCTTCCCTGCCCGCCCCCCTCCCCCGCCCCGCCTCATTGATTTGGACCTCTAGTCAAAGTTTCCTTCTCAGAACTCCAGAGAATCCCAGTTTTCCCTGCTGGCAGGATGCTTTTCTGCATCTGCATACCTGCCCATAGTGGTCAGGTGAGGGGTTGCTCCCCTTCATGCCTCTGCCGGCATCCTTAAGCCCAGGGACTACTTCAGTGTGTGTCTCCAGGGCCCCGTGGCCACCTTGTGATTGGTTCTGGGTGACGTGGTACCTAATGATTTCTCTGTATTAGTTCAGCATGCCATCCTGCTTTCCATGGAGCCCTCAGTAATTGAGGAAGGGAGCTGTGGGCGGGAGTGGGGACAGCACGCTGAGCAGGATGAAGGGATATCTTTAACTCTCTTGAGTGACACTCGGGATGAAGGGGCTGCTGCCCAGAGGGCTTTTGCCCAGCAAGGAGCAGCAGGTGAGCTGTCTTGGATGTGTCCCTATCAGGTTATAGGTCACACTGGAGTCAGCATTTCTGGAGAGCAAGTATCTGGAGGAGTCAGATTCTGGATCAGAGCCTGTCTCCACCCTGATATGAACCTTGTGCTCTTGGAGAAGAGGCAACGAGCTGACCTTGGCGGCTGGGATGAGGGGTGGGTCTGTGGGAGGCAGACTGGCCAATGAGTGCCCCTTTGCCCTCTGAGGCCCTTTCTCAGGCCTGGTCTGCCTCCACACAGGTCCCTGGGTGTGCTTAGCCCTGCTCACCCTCCTCAGGAGAAGGGTAGGCAGGGTGGGAGATGCCAGCCAGCTGCTGGGAGGCCCCTTCAGCCAGGGTGAGAGGGTCGGCCTTGCTGTCAGCCAGTCAGAGGGTTCAGTGTCTGACCTGAGCTGGAGACTGTGGCTGAGGAATTAGGCCAGTCTTTGGCTGGATGAGGATGTTGTCCTCATCCGTGCTATGGACCCCATGAACATCCATGAGAACTTTTTATCCCTCCCAGCATGATTCCCACGTGGCTCAGTGATGAAGAGTCTGCCTGCAAATGCAGAAAATGCGGGTTCAATCCCTGGGCCGGGAAGGTCCCCTGGAGAAGTAAATGGCAATCTACTCCACTATTCTTGCCTGGGAAATCCCATGGACATAGAAGCCTGGCATGCTGTAGTCCATGGGGTTGCAAAGAGTTGGACACGACTGAGCAACTAAACAACAAAAACATGATGAAATAAATTACAGAGGAGTACAGGGAGAACCAATTATATAGGAACACAGTTATTAAGATGTTAGGAAACAAATTTGTGGTATAGTAATATATGCTTCTTTATTAACACATTAAATAAAAGCAGCAGGTCTAACCTTAATGTTGAAGTAGTGATGAGTAAAAGTGGTAATCTTGAGATACGGGAACATCAATAAGGTGACATGAAAATACTTCTGATTTCTGTTCATAGATTCATGCTCTGCTGATACTGTCGTGGTTTGTTGCTTGTGTTAGTAACTGAAGAAAATGTTAATTTGAAAGAGAGGTTAGAGAAAATAAAGATGTAACTTTTTTTCCCCACTTAGGTAGGTGGAGTCCGTAAACTCTGTGCATTAATCCCTTGGGTAAGGGCCCAGCAGGTAGCCATTGAGGGAAAGGAGAGGTGGCTCGGTGCTGATTTGGGGGACAGGAGAGGCTTTCCCGGGCATCAGGGTCACACCTTCCATGGGGGCAGGTCACTGGCTGTTTCCTGGGCTCTGGCTGTTGACAGGGGGTGGGCTGGCCCATGAGGGCTGGAGCTTGTTCTGTGGGTCTCTTTGATACCCTGGAGTCTTTATCCGCCAGCCCCTACTGTCTTCCCTGGGCGTTGCCCGTGCCCTTGGCTGCCTGCAGTAAAGTGTGCCTTATTTACACTTGGACTTGGAGATGACCTGGCTTTTGCCTTTTAGATTCCAGGTGCCAGTTAGCAAAAGCTCCAGCAGAAACCAGGTGGGGATGTTTTATTAGTGCTGCTTTTGCTGAACTTGCAGGGAGAAGCCACCTGCGATGGCTCTGGGCCCAACATTCTCTCTGAGGGTTGGTTTATGCCATGAGAAATCAAAGGGCATGTCTCTATACCCTTGGATTCTGAGGTGCCCTGCAGTAATGAATGACTGCAGCCGTCAGCCCTGCCTGGGAGCTCTGGCCAGGCTGCCTTTCTCTGTTCTGGCTGAGCCCACACAGGATTAGGTAGTATTGTAGATTTCCTTTGCAGCAGCAGCTCATGCTCCCAGGGACGGTAACTTGTCAAGTTTCCTGTCTTGACCTGGACTGCTCGGCCCTTGGGCTAGAAAACTCCTGTCCAGGTGCCCTGAGGAGTTCTGGATAAGATGAAGTGAAAGTCGCTCAGTTGTGTCTGACTCTTTCTGACCCCACGGACTGTAGCCTTCCAGGCTCCTCCATCCATGGAATTCTCCAGGCCAGAATACTGGAGTGGGCAGCCTTTCCCTTCTCCAGGGGGATCTTCCCAACCCAGGGATTTAACCCAGGTCTCCTGCATTGTGGGTGGATTCTTTACCATTTGAGCCACCAGGAAAGCCCAGATAAGATGACGCCTAGCCCTTCTGAGAGCCTTCCAGGTGGGGAATGCTGTGTCAACTCGTTTTGTTGTCTAGTTGCTAAGTCATGTCTGACTCTTTTGTGACCCCATGGCCTGTAGTCCACTAGGCTATTCCATCCATGGGATCATGGGATTTTCCAGGCAAGAATACTGGAGTGGGTTGCCATTTCCTTCTCCAGGGGAGCTTCCCAACCCAGGGATCGAACTCATGTCTTTTGCATCACAGGCGGACACTTTACCATGAACCACCTGGGCAACTGGTACCTGGTATGTTTAAGGAGGGAGGTGGCGGGGGTGAGGTGGGGGGAACTGAGGTGGGTGGGCTCTGCAGACTGGGGGCCGAGGCTGGGCATTTTTAGGCACTGGTGCTATTGAGTCTGCATGGGTCTAGGCAGCTTTGGCCGGGGCCTCTCCAGCCGTCCTGCCCCTTCTGTGCTGTTGGGAGTCCAGAGAGACAGGCTCCTCCCTGAGCCCACCCCATGGGCTTTGCTGAGTGAGGGGAAAGAATGGGGGAACACAGGGGACTCTGGGCAGGGGTGCTGGCAGCTGCACTTTCAGTTCCTGACAGCTGGGATGCCGGCCTGTTTGTGAGCCGTCACCCCTTCCTTTCATCCTGGTGCTGAGCATGGCAGGCAAGTGGCCTGGCTGAGAGGAAGCCCTGGCCCCTTGGGTCCACCCTCCTGGGAGGGTGAGGGAGGGCCGTGCCCAGGGAGGCTCTGGTCCCGTCAGCACGTTGGGTGGGCAGGACCTCTCTACCCTTCCTGGCCAGGCTGGTCTAAGGGTGGGGCTTCCTTCCCCTCTGGGGCTGAAATGGCAGCTTTGCACAGCTGTGTGGGTGGCCCCAGACTGTGACAGTTGCTCACTCAGCAAAGCTTTATTGAGCACTTGCCACGTGCCCAGCACAGAGCTTGGTGTGGGGCGGCACTGACCAGAGCAGACCCAGCTCTCTGGGCTCGTGGGGTTTCCGTTCTAGCGGCCGGAGGCGGCCCTCATCCGTGAGCACCGTCTCTCACTGCAGCCCCAGGCAGCGCCCCCTCTCTCTGGGCCGTCCCTGCCCTCCTGGACCTCCGCTGGCCAGAGGGCCTGCAGGGCCTCCCTCCGCACAGGTCACACGGCCCTGCCTAACTCCTGCCCTCTGGCCCCGACCTTGCTGGCCACCAGCCCACTCACTGGGACTGCCCTTCCTCCATTTAGTCATTCATGCAGCGCTGTTTTGGGCTTCCCAGGTGACGCCAGTGGTAAAGAACCCACCTGCCAGTGCAGGAGATGTAAGAGACCTGGGCTCGATCCCTGGGTGTGCAAGATCCCCTGGAGGAGGGCATGGCAACCCCACTCCAGTATTGCCTGGAGAATCCCATGGACAGAGGAGCTTGGTGGGCTACAGTCCACAGGGTTGCAAAGAGTCGGACACAAGTGAAGCGACTTAGCGTGCATGCACGCATGAAGCACTGTTTTAGGGGCCTGGAAGGAGGTGGTCCCCACCCTCATGGAGCTTACATTTCACCTGGGGAGACAACGAGCAAGTAAACAATATACTATTAGACAGTGATGCATGCTCTAGAGAGGTGGGAAGAGAGCAGTGGATAGTTTGGGTGGGGCTGTTGGAAAAGTTTCCTGGAAGAGGGGTTAAGTCTGCAGAGGCCTGGATGAAGCGAGAACATGACCCTGGCCGGCAGTAGGAGAGGGTGTCCCTTATGGGGAACAGGAAGGCCCCAGGTGGGCGCGTTCTTGGGGTTTAGGGAAGAGTATGATGCCTGTGTGGCCCGCCTCAGTGCCTTGTGGCTGGGAGGAAGTCTGCACTGGGTTCTAAGTGCGCTGGGGCGGCCAGGACATGGGGAACAGCTGTGTGACTCTTCAGAGGATTTTACTGCACAGAGAGAGAGAGAAGTAGATGCTGGTGGGTGTGGGGGTCAAGGGGCGTGTTTTTACTTATTTGTTTTAAAGATGGGTGAGGTTCCTGTACTTCTGAATGCTGAGAATGATCCCCAGAGGGGAAAACTGATGCTGGAGCAACTCAGGGGGTTGGGGGTGGGGAGAAACTTGAGGGGTAGCTCATGCCACGCCCAGGTGGAGGGGAGGCCTCAGCCCAAAGGCCGAAACTTCCGGATCCATCTTGTCATGGTTCCCCCTCAGTCATTTGGCACATACAGGCCTGGCTCGGCTCAGTGCCTGGTGCTTAGTGCCGTGTGTGTGTGTGTGTGTCCGTCCCAGCTCAGGTGAGAGACAACCCGGGCTGCCGGGTCTGTGACCTGCAGAGCAGATGCAGCCTGCAGACACGTGGGCAGGGATCCAGTGTCCTCTGGGAAAACATCTCACATGGATGGGAAGCTCCTTGAGGGCAGGAACTGGAGGGTAGGGAGTGTGTCTGGGCACCATTATTGAGTTTCCCTCGGTGGCCTCATCTGTCTGCTGGTTAAACAGACCCAGCTGCCCCTCATCCCACTTGTCTGGCGCTCAGGGCCAGGAGGGGAGGGTGTGGTTGGTAGCCCCTGTGGTCCACCGGTGGCCCGGCAGGGAGCTGTTTCTGGATCACGCACAGGTCGAGCTTGGATCACAGCTTGCCACGTGCCAGGCTGGGCCCTGCGGCTGCCCCAGACTGTGCATAGGGCATGTGCCTGGCGGTGCTAACAGAAGCCTGCTTGTGTCTTTGCAGACCCTCATTTTGGCTGGGGAATGAAACCCTGAAGGTGCCACTGGCACTCTTCGCACTGAACAGGCGGCGCCTGTGTGAGCGGCTGCAGAAGAACCCGGCGGTGCAGGCTGGCTCCGCGGTGGTGCTGCAGGGCGGCGAGGAGACGCAGCGCTACTGCACCGACACCGGGGTGATCTTCCGCCAGGTGAGCCCTGCCGGCAGCTTCCCGCCTCTTGGGTGTGCGCCGGGCCTCCTGTAGGCCGTCTGCCCTCCTCCAGCACCAGGCCGAGTGGGTCTGGGCAACTCTACCCTCCTGAGGGACCAGGAGGAGGTTCTCTGAAGGCAAGCCAAGGCTGAGGTCCCCAGGGGGGCCCCCACTCCGGAGGCAGAGCTGTCACCCATCAGCCTCTGCTCTCTCAGATCAGAGTACAGAGGGATGATGTTCCTGGGGAGCAAGCAGACAAGGCTTCCTGGAGGAGGCAGTATTGGGCATGGACCCTGAAGGCCAGTGTGAATTCTGACAGGTGGAGCTGGGGTTCGGTGTTCTAGGTGGGGGAATGGTATCCACAGGATTGGACCCCAGAAGGGGGGCTGGGCAGCCTTCCCTGGGCTGGGAGAGGTGCTGTTGGGGAGGGCCGAGTTCCTGTGACCAGATTTCACCGCAGCAAGGAGAATGGACTGGTGCTACAGAGGTCCTGGGAGGAGGAGGCATGGGAGCAGGGTCTGAACAGGAGTCCAGTGCCCTGGCATTCATCCCAGCTTGGCCAGTGCTGACCCCCTGGGTTTGGTTTCCTCCCCTGGGAAGTGATCCAGGGGCTCCTCAAAGTTCTAGAACCCTGGGGGGTAGCGGCGGGTGGCCAAGCTGTAGAAAGCCAGCCTGGGTGTGATGGCCTGTGGCATCCTCAGTTCCCAGGGACAGGAACAAGGACAGTCACCAGAGGCTCACCCAGGGGCCCTAGGCTGCCCCCACTTTACAGATGAGGAAATAGACTTAGCGGGAAATGATTGCCAGAGGGGGAGCTGGGATTAATTAGAACCCATCTGCTGACTCCGAGTCTCCCAGAGCAGGGGTCTGATGCACTGGGAACTCCCTGGGGCCAGGCAAGGCCTAGAGGACATGGCTGTCCAGCATCCAGGTCAGGGAGCAGGCAGGGGAATGGGAAGGGAGCCGAGCGTGGAGAGCAGGCAGCAAAGCGTGGCCTCCGCAGCTGGACAGTGTCTACCCTTCGGGGCACAGGCCTAGATCCACTGCTGGGAGCCATGGCGCACGCAGCACCTTCCACAGAAAGTGTCTCCTACTGGAGGGCTTCCCTCTGCCTCTTCGTTCCTGCCATCCCTGGGTTGCTGGAGACGTGGAGGTCTAAATAAGTTTTCTCTGCCTCGTCCTGATGCTTCTTGAGGTTTCCATAGTCTGTGGTTTAAAAACCAGTCTCCTAAATTCAGCTGTTGGCTCCCTTACTGATGTTTTATGCAAGATTAATTTTAGAAGAGCGCCTCCTCCACTTCATACCTTTACAACGATATTTTAGCTCCATGTTTAATGCTAAACACTGAAGTCATCAGCTGCCCCGGGGGCGGGAGAAGGAAGGAAGAAGTCCTAAATGGAGGAATCTGCTTCTGAGCAGATGCCCGGCCTGGGCGTCTTAAGTCAAGGTGGAACCTTGCCTGCCTGCAGGCAGTGGGGGTGGCAGAGAGGTGGAGAGGGACAGGAGGATGCAGGTAGGGCGTTGCCAGATCTGTGATGCTCTTGGGAACCCGAGTTTTAACCTGTCCTGTCTGGGACCTGAGGGGTGTGGCGGGGAGGCAGGGATGGCGGGTGGGCCTGGGACACAGGCATGAAGCGGGGTCTGAGCAGCCAGCCAGGAGGAAGGAGAAGATGGCAGTTGGTTGGAGTGGGGGGCACAGTGCTGAGGTGCAGGGCGGTGTGAGACTGGGGTCTGACTTCAAGAGCCGGGGAGCCTGAGTCTCCTCTCTGGGGTGTGGGAAGGAAGGTGCTCGGTCAGACTCCCCACCTCTCTCCTTGCGCCTTAAGTTTCTGTCCTGCCGACTGGGTGACCTGTGTCCTTGTTCCCACCACAGGAATCCTTCTTTCACTGGACGTTTGGTGTCACCGAGCCAGGCTGCTACGGCGTGATCGACGTGGACACCGGGACGGCCACTCTCTTCGTGCCCAGGCTTCCTCCCAGCCACGCCACCTGGATGGGCAAGTAAGGAGCAGTCTGGGGCTGTGAGCGTGCCTGCTGGCCACTGGCGGGCTGGGAGCGGGGTCACTGCCTGGCCTGTGAGTGGCAACGGGGGAAGGTCAGCAAGGGGCAAGGCTTAGTGGGCAAGCGTATTAACAGCCTACTCTGGGCTGGAGCCCAGTGCCTTTGGATGGGAAGGAGTGTCAGAGCAGGAGCCGCAGACTTTTCACATTTGTTTGGAGGTGGTGGTTGTTAATACTGAGATTCCAGATCCCCGGCTGTGTTGAGATGCCTGAGGCCCTGGCTCTGGGCAGGGGGGACCTTCACTCCTGTGTAGCGTTCCATGGGAGGCGGCCCCACCCTGGTGTGCTGGGGTTGGCTCTGGCCAGGGAGGACATCCTGGGGTCCTCCTCTGAGGCCTGTCGCGGATTGCATGATGTCATGGGGTGCCTCCCATCTACTGGCCTCCGGGCTAAGCCATGAGGGGCCGAGGATGTAGGCCCTGCCTCCGGTGGCTCAGCTGGGAGACAGGGTCATGCTCTGGGGTATGCTGTGTGATAAGCTTGGGGCCAGAGGCCTGAGTGAGGCTGAGAGGCTGCCACACTCATCGGATGTCTGCCAGTGTCAGGACCCTTGGCCACATCCGCTGCTCCCAGGAGCTGTTCCTGCTGACTCCAGGGTGCTGAGGTGGAGGCTGTACTTAACTGGGTGATCAGAGAATTCCGCTAGATGCTCTCCACCTTCTAGCATGTCATTTCTGCCAGGAGAGTACTTATTCTGGGCTAATATACAAATTGCAGCCTTCACTGCCTCATGTCCCAACGCTCATTGCCAGGTTGGCTGGCGGATCTGTGGCTGGTTTGAATGACGAGGCGTCTGTGCAGAGGGCCAGGGCAGGGCCCCCCAACCTCAGTGGGCTTCTCCGGGGAGCGGGTCTGACCACTGTCGGAGCCTCCAATGCCTTATCCGTGGAACAGCCACGGTGCTGCTCATGAGGCATCACCAGGGCTTTAGTCAGTCACTGTGCGGTGGTTATACTGTGGGATGGTCACTGTGGTGTGGCATTGGAGTGAGGCAGTGATGATGTTGGGGACAGGCAGCTTGTGATGTCCACAGTATTTATGGCCATTCCCTATGGAGAGTTGGAATCGTTTCCCTCCTGCCTGGCTTGGTCAGGACCTGGGTCACGGCCTCTGCATAAATGTGGCTGGGTCGCTGTGTGACTTCTGAGTGAAGTGAGTGTTAGTTGCTCAGTTGTATCTGACTTTTTGTGACCCCATGGACTGTAGCCCTCCATACTCCTCTGTCCATGGATTTCCCAGGCGAGAGTACTGGGGTGGGTAGCCATTCCCTTCTCCAGGGGATCTACTCAAACCCAGGAATTGAACCCAAGTCTTCTACATGGCAGGCGGATTCTTTACCATCTGAGCCACCAGGAGAGCCTATGACTTCTGTGGCTAGACTGTAAATTGTGCTGTAGTTTCCATCAGGCTCTCGTTCCTCGAGCCCAGCTGCCACGTGGTGAGGAACCCAGACTCACTGTGTGGAGGGCCCAGAGCCGGCTGTCAGCCAGCACCCCCCGCTGGAGCCCCAGCTCTCTTGGGACTCTTGTCCTGAGCCCCAGCCTGCAGGGTCTGTGGACGTAGTACGTGGTTTATTACTCCCCTACGGGTCAGGGTGGCTTGTCACGAAGCCCTGGTGACTGCAGGAGTTTCCTGGTGAGAGTTTAGATCTGGTCTGGGTGAGAAGCTTCTCCCAGAGCCCTCCCTGCACCCTGAGGTGATCACCAAGCTGTAGCCTCAGCCTTTCCTGCCAGTGGCGTGTCCGGGGCCCCTGTGCCTGGATGGGGCCTTCCCACCCTCTCAGCCTCCCCGTGGCCCTTTCCTGCCAGTGGCGTGTCCGGGGCCCCTGTGCCTGGATGGGGCCTTCCCACCCTCTCAGCCTCCCTGTGGCCCTGCCCCCTGGCCGCAGGTGTGCTGAGACGCCCAGGGCATCAGAGACGCAGCCCCTGAGATGTGGGTGTGGACAGTGGTGGGTCTCCATCAGAAGGCGTGGCGGGGCTCTGAGGGCGTCCCCCCTTCTGGCCACTGATGCTGCTTACCCAGGGCTGACTCTTGCCAGAAGCCAGGGAGCGCCTGTCCGTGGGGTAGGGCGGACATCCTCCAGGCTCTGCCTCCCGGCCCCGGGGACTCCACACAGCTCAGCAGGCCTCACCCCGCCTCCCCACAGCCAGATGGCATTTGGGGGGTTTTGCTTTGGCCGCTTGGCATGACATGTGGAATCTAGTTCCCCGACTAGGGATCTCACCCTTGCCCCCTGAAGTGGAAGTGCAGAGTCTTAACCCCTGGGCCACCAGGGACGTCCTAGTCCTAACATGAGGGCTTAAAACTCTGGACCTGACTGGTCAGGAAGCAGCTGTTAGCGGTTGCCTGTTCCAGAGCATGGTGTTGCTGCTGCTGCTGCTCCTAAGTCGCTTCAGTCCTGTCAGACTCTGTGCATCCCCATAGACGGCAGCCCACCAGGCTCCCCTGTCCCTGGGATTCTCCAGGCAAGAGTACTGGAGTGGAGTGCCATTGCCTTCTCCAGTTCTAGAGCATAGTCTTCAATAATACAGGAATGATCTTCTACACTCTGACCATGGCTGCATTTCAGAGCTGCTGTTAAAAAGTTCTTCTCTGGTCTTTCCCTGCTTTGCCAGGGCAGCTGACTGTGTGGTGTGGATTTTGGAGGGTACAGATGAGTCTGCAGGGCGCGTCTCCCTGTTGGAAAGGCTCCAGGTGGTCTGGGCAGGCCAGACGGAGCAGGCCGGTCCCCAGGGCATTCTGGCTCCACAGCAGAGAGCTAGCCCCTTGTCTCTGGCAGACCTGGCTCCCCTCCATGCCCACCCCATTTGGCCTTTCCCTCCCTCTGCTCTGGTGTGACCTTCTACTAGTCCACGTGTTCCAAGCCTTCGGGAGAGAAGGCGGCATGTCGGGCACAGGGTACTGGAAGGGTTGGTCTGTCTGGGGCTGGAGTGGGGAGTGGCTGGATCTGATGTGCGGAGCTGATCAGACGCTCCTGATCAATAGGGCGGGAGCGAGGCTGGCGGGATTACCTGGCCTTTGTGATCAAAACCCGCCAGCCTGAACATTTGACCTTCAGCTACTCAGCTTCCTTCTGAGTCTCTCTGTGATGGCTTTTGAAAATTCTGCTAGCAGATAATGCAATCCGAAGTCGCCCAGGGAAACAGCACCCCCGTCTCCACATTTGCCGCTTCCTGTGTAAACAGCCTGTCCTGTCATCAAGGCTTCAGACGCGAGGGGCCCGAGGGCAGCTGGTGGCTCAGGCTGTTCCTCAGCCCAGGCCGTTGTGGGGATGGGAATGTGGTAGTTTCTATTTTGTTTTTATTTGGCATCTTTGCTTGTACAAGTCTGGTGGTTTTTTTGATGTGAGAGTGTTTCCTGTCATTTCCGTCAGAATCCGGCTCAGCTGATGGCAGTTTTGGCCCCCAGGGTGTCTGGGGTCCTCTGAGCAGGCGGGAAATTGGCACCCTGGGGAAGCTTCAGCATGGATAGAGGGCGAACGACTCTGGGCCAGGTTGGGGGACCCCTTCTAGGACCTTGGCAGCCTGGCTGTGTTCTGCTCCCACTCCTGGCTGAGACCTCAGGCTTGAACGTGAGAGAGTGTGGCTAGCCTGGAGTTTGTAGGGAGGAGGGAGGTGTCTGCAGGGTTGAGGCCCTGAACATGGCACTTCCTGTTGTGGGAACTGAAGTGTGTGTGCTGTGTGCTGTGGTGTGTGTGATGTGTGCATGTGTGATGTGTGTGGGTCTGTGTGTGGGGCGTATAGGGGGTATATGTGGTGTGGTATATGTTAGGGTGGTGTGTATGTATATGTATATGTGTAGGGTGGATGACATGGGAGTGGGGTGTGGCACAGTATGTGTGGTGCAGTGTGTGTATGTTGTATGGTTGTGATGTGGTGCATATGTGGGGGGTGTGGGGTGTTTTCACAGCCTCTGCCCCCCCACCCCGTACACACAGCTGGGTCACAGGATGACGGCTGCCTCAGCCTGTCTGGTGGCCTGGTCCTGGCTCCCTTGTCTTCAGGATAGTGATGAGAGGTGCAGGCCTCGCAGAGGAGCAGGACCGAGGGAATTCCTTTGGCTCTGACCCCAGGCAGCCTGAGGCCTGGCAAGGGGTTTTGCCAGGACGCTCAGCCAGGTTCCTGTCCGTCACCTCTGCTCCCTGCACCAGCTTCTCTGAGAATTGCCGCCTTGCCCTCAGGATCAGTGACCCGCACTTTGGAGAGTCCTGCTCTTCTTTCTCAAGCTAATAGAACCCCGATTGGTTGCCACCTTCATTCCGGAGCTGGTGCGGGGCGCTCGGTGGTGAGCAGGAGGGGAAGAGCTGCAGGCAGGCTCCGGCTGCCGGACATGGATGCTGACAGCTGTGATTTGGCCCCGTTACTGGTTCATTAGCCACATGCAGGTGGTCAGCTCTCCAGCTAGACCTGTGCTTGGAAATTTTATTTTCTAGAAGGTTTCACTGTGTCTGCCCCGTGGGCGTTAGTTTAAAGTTTCCTTCTCAGGGGAGGCCCCGCACAGGGTGTTGCCTCTCACTGCGCCCGCCCTGACTCTGAGTTCTAGGAGAGGCCTCCCCTGTCACCTGCTGGGTCCAGTTGCCAGTGGAGAAGGCCTGCATGGGCCGGGGCCGCGGACACCGGCTCCTTCCTGAAGATGTGAACCCTTTTGAGAGGGGTTCCTGCCTCCTCTCTCCTGCCAGAGCTTCCCCTTCCTTTTCTGTACATTTTTTTTTAATTTTAATTTTTTAATACCCAAAATATTTTGCATTGAGGTATAGCCGATTAACAGCGTTGTGGGAGATTCAGCTTGCCCCTTTCCTTTTGAGGGAGAGCTCCTGGGGTGGGGTTGGCTTCCCTGCTGGCCCACTCTCTCGCATCCGGTTGCTACCACGTGGATCTCCCATACGACGAGATCTGGCCTGAGCTGCCCTGCTGGCCTCCAGACTCCAGTCCGGGCCGCGTGCAGCTCTCCGTGTGGCCGCGGCCGGCCCAGCGCCAGTGACCTCTCCTGCAGGGCTCATGTGGACATGCCACTCCTTTTCCTGTCAGTCCCTCTGGTGGCTGGGTGACATGGTGGTCCGGCACACGTATCTCTTACGGTGCCATTTAAATGATTTTTACTAGAATTGGCCCCAAAACATGAAAAATAAGTACTATTCCAACTTAACTATCCCTATCCTTTAGGAAGAAGTGGCATGCTAAGTGCCAGAGACGATGCAGTTGGTTATTCCTGCTGAGAGCCAGGCCTGTGGCTAGTTGGGTGACTCAAGGCCCTTGAGGCCCATGTGCACTCTGGACTTGTTGAGGTGGACAAAGGGCGTTTGGTGGGGCTGACTTCCCAACTCGCTTCCTCCTGGACATCAGAGCAGCAGCATCTGCCTCTCCCATGGGCTGGCTGGCTGCCTGTGGCTCCTTGGCTCCCGGGCAAGTGGGCTGGTTCGTGGCTGGTAGGTGAGGGGTGGACAGGCAAGCACACAGCCCTGGGCCACCCATGGGTCACAGCTTGCTGTGCTCCTCTCTCCTTTACTCCCTCCTCCGCCCCCCTCCACCGGTTCCTCCCTGTTAACTTTGACCTCAGGCTGAATACATGGAGATGTTCCCAGATCTCAAGTCTCCTGGGTTTCTGCTGAATCCTGATTGATAAGACCCCTCCCACCCCACCCTGCCCCCGGGCAGGGCCAGCAGGAGCTGGTGTCCCTGCGGTAAGATGGCTTGGAAGACCTGGGAGGGTTAGGGTCCCCAACAGGAGGTGAGATGAGAAGGTCAGTGTCCAAGCTAATGGCCGAGACACCCCTCTGTAGGATCATCGAGGCCTTCCTCGGAAGCAGGCCCTTAGCTCTTCCTGACTCTTTCGAGTGTTTGCTTTTGATGTCTGTCACAGCTGGAGCAGATCGAGTGATGGGGGCCCACAGTTGAACTGGGGACCCACCGAGGATGTTGAGTGTCTGTCCTTAGCTGGGGCTGGAGTCACAGCAGTCAGCGGGAACATGGTGATGACGCCAAGGTCCCTACCTCTTGCCCTTCTGGCCTGCACTTCTGTGTGTGGCTGCAGGGTCACCTGCAGAGTGTCACCCCTTAGTAGCAAAGGGTCAGTGAGCTCTTGGCAGTAAGCCTTGGAGCCAGGGCCTCCAGTGTCCACGCGGGGTGCTTGTCATCAGTTCCTGCCCCGTGTAGCTGCTATGGTCGATGCTAACGGAGGCACCAGACTTTGGCCATTTACCTTTGAGTCCTATCTCAACCACAGAAGCTGATGCAATTGGATCCTGCAAGTTTAATTAATGATGGAAGCTTGACACCCAGTGCCCATGTCAGAGAACCCAGAAGGGAGGTGAAGCAAAGAGGGTTCTGGGACAGTGAGCTGCCCATTGCCAGGGACCACTGTCTCCCCTGCCCAGCTTGCCCCCTGGGGCTGTGAGTGCCCTGCTGCTGATCCCCAAGGCCACCTGTCTGTCCCTGGATCATGCTGTGTGTTTCCTGGCCACAGTCCAGGCTGGGCTGCCTGTTTGGGTGGAAGGAAAATTCCCACTCAGAGAGGGGATGGGAGTCTGTTTTCTGGGTAGTGATGCTGGTACCTCAGAAGTGTGTGGAGCTTGCTCTCAGAGGTGGTTGTCTCCAAGTGCCCTCTTCCTTATCCCCCGTGGGCCTCCCCGGCGCGCTGTCCTTGGCACCTCCCCCTGCCTGTCTGCTCATCCTTGACAGCCCAGGAAACACACTCCAAAAGCCATCTGCTGCTTCCTCTGAGACCGCCTTTGGATCTGACACTTAGTGACTAGAGTACCACACATCGCAGGCAGGGGAAGGGCGAACCCCTGAGCTGATGCAGTGCCCAGGCATGGGATGGCACAGTGCAGTGTGTGTGTGTGTGAAACTAGACTTGGGTTGGACACCCTTCTCCTGGGTGGCTAATGCTCCTGATGTGAGCTGTCACCAGCAGTGACATTGATTCATTTTTCCCACCAAGAGGCTGGGGGGTGGGAGTGGCGCTTGCTGGACCCGCCAGCCCTGCCCAGCACAGCCATGACCACAGTCAGCACACACGTGACCGTGAGCCAGGCAGGGGCGACTCAGCCACCTCCGCTCCGGGTCTTTGTCTTCTCACCAGCTGATTTTTTAGGCACGATGAGTAAGCTTGAGTGTTTCTCATCACAGTGAGTAATACTGTTATTGACTTCTTTAAAATGTTAATTTTTAATTTTTAAACTTTCCTTTAAAGAGGCTCCGTGGGGGCCTGGGAGGCAGCTTATTTCACTCCCCAAAGAGTAGGGTGTGCTGACAGGCTGCCCTTGGACTCTCCCTGGCGGGTGGAGGGAGGGTTGTCCCTACTTGCTGCCAGTGGCGAGGGTCACAGACTCGAAGGAAGAGCGGAGGTCGGCTGGGAAGGTGGAGGGAGGCAGGCGGGGTTCAGCGGTCTCTCTGTGGCCCAGTGTCCTTTGCCCACTTGTCCTTGAGTCGGTGTTGGGCAGACCGGCTTGGTGCCAAGTGCTGGATTGGGTAGGAATGGGGTGGGGTGGATGACTTGGGGGTGGGAAGGCAGCCGGGGCCCAGCCAAGGCCAAACCTGACCCTGGCCTTTGTGCTTCTTTTGAGGATCCACTCCAAGGAGCACTTCAAGGAGAAGTACGCTGTGGATGACGTCCAGTACACAGACGAGGTCAGTAGTGGCTGACCCCTTCCCCTGCCGCAGCCTGGCTTGATATCGCGGGACAGCATGGGCCAGCCACCAGCCCCCTTAGCAGTGCTGGAAGCGTCTGGTACCTGGGAGGTGGCCGCTGAGCTGCCCAGGGGAGGCTATCTCTGTGAAGGTCTGATCAGGCTCGGCTGGGCCTTCATGTGTCAGGAGGCCCTCTCGCAGGCCCTCATCAGCTGCAGATGCTGCTGTCAGAAAAGCCCCAGGCTGCGAGAGGCTTGTGGGGTGGGGTGGACTTGGAGGTCCCCTGGCTATACTTTTGTTTATTTATTGGCTATGCCACAGAGTTTGCGAGATCTTAGTTCCCCAACTAAGGATGGAACCCGGGTCACGGCAGTGAAAGCGTGGAATCCTCACCACTAGGCCACCAGGGAACTCCCCCCAGCTTTAATCTTCTTCCCAGTGTGCTTGGCCAATAGTGTGTGGCCAGGGTAGGGATGCAACTGTCTTCCTGGGGCTTTGAATCTGTCTGCAGTCCAGGCAATTAGAAGCGGCTGCCCCTGACTTCCACTGCTGTTAGAACAGGGGGAGATGCCCATGCTTAGTTCTCATTTTGTTCCGATCCTCTCCTTTGGTGGGTGTGTCCCTCCTGCCTTTGTAAACTGCATTGTAACATTATTGCCCTTTGGGACCTTGACCTTCCGGGTCTCCTGGGTGTGAAACCTGGAGGTGGGCAGCCTGGGAGGGGTCCTGGGGCTCAGCCCACCAAGTCAGAGCCTCCCAGCCACAATCTAATGGTTTTGCTTCTATGACCAGGGGATGGGCAGTGGCAGGAAGAGGGTGAACTCACTTACACTGTGATTTCTGGGGAGAAGGAGAGCTGGCTTCTAGATGAGGTAAAACAGAAGAGGTCTCGTGTCAGGACAGGAAAGCCTGTAATGATGGTCTAGGATTACAGCCCCACAGACCAGCTCATTCTGAATCTGTGTTTAGGAAGCAGAATCTTAAGTGAAGGCATCAGTGGAGTTGAAAACAGGGAGCTTTCTGCAGGCCTCTCTATCATCAGTGTCATCGGCTTTGTCGTGCCTGTTTCTCCTGTGGATCTTACTGGAAACAAGGGCTCTTATGGACTGGGGGAGAGGTGCTTCACTCTGGGGCGGCACCTGCGGGTTCCAGGCACCTCAGTAACTCTCATGGATTCCCTCCTCCCTCTGCCCTGTGCTGTGGGGGCCAGAGTCTCACCTTGATAAAAGGAGGAGGCCAAGGCTCCAAGCAGCGAAGGGCCTCATCCACAGCCCCACCAGTGTGGAGTACCAGACTTGGATGTGACCTCAGAGCCTGTGGACCCCAGAGGTGCACCCTCCACCCCCGCCTGTGCCCTGTCAGAAGTGAGCAGGTGCTGCTGGACGCGCCTGTAGAGCTGACAAGGCCCCCAAGTGCCTTGGATTTTCTGTGGCTTGACTTGGAGCCCAACCAAAGTACAGACGGCTAAGCTGGGAGGCACTCAAGGTGCCCGGGGCTGCCCCATCACGGACGGTGACAGGAAGCCCTTTGTGTTGGGCCGGTTCTATGAGGCTTGGCTCAATCTAACCCTCAGACAGCCGTGGCCGTCTGCACAAATCACAGACAGGAAGCAGCTGACACTTGTCTCCTCTGAAAGAAGGCAGGAAGCCCCCACCCCAGGCCATGGCCTGTCATTCCATACCACATGCAGGTGGCTGATGTAGCAAACCTGGCTGTGTAGTTCCCCCTCCTCCTATAGGTGATCCTGAGTTTAATTATTGAGAAGGTCGAGTGAATGGTGGCTCCCCTGAGAGGGTGGGGCTCAGGAAAACCTTGAGAGGGGCTAGGCATTGCTGTCGAGGTGCAGTGCAGAGGCTGTGTTCCTGGTGATGGGAGCTGGCCTGGCAGAGGGCAAGCCTTGTGTCCTCTTTTGTGGCACCAGACAGGTGTTGCCAAGGTCACTGACTCAGATATAAGAGACCTTGGTGACATCCCAGTGGCTGATACCCCCCATCTCCCCACCTCAGTGGGTAAAGGCATCAGGAAGTGGGGTGCCCCCGATTGCTCTGTGGGACACTGGCCCCATGTTGCCGGATACCCCAGTTGTTCATGAGTAGATGCACATCCATGTTGTTTATGGTCATTCCCCACGTTTAAATTTTAGGAACAATTTGAAAATTTTAAATGAATTGCTGCATTTAAAAACCATTGTGCAGCCCTGTTTCAGACTGCCATGATAAAGGTTCATTTTTTTAAAAGCTTTGCTTTTCGCATAGTGAACCCAGCTTCCTGGAGCAGTAGGAGCTTGTTTTGATAGTACTGGTCAAGGATCGTCCACCCCACTTTTCTGGATCATCACCCTTGAAGAGTGGCCAGCAGGCCTGGTGGAAGTCTTGGGTGCGAGGGTGCAAGAGGAAGCCTCTGACTGTCCCCAGGGAAGGATCCTTGTCCACAGGGCTCTGAAGCATTCTGTGTTTGCTGTCCACCTCAACCTGCCGGACAGGCCAGGCTATCTGGGAAACAGGTGCTGTGGCATGAAGTTAGGCAGAGGTGTTTAAAAGCACTAGTTCGTGAGAGCTGGTGGGTCCCCAGTTACCGCTGCTCCATGGAAACCAGGCCCTGTGTGGCCAGAGTTGTGTCATCCTGTATGTGGAGTGGCATTTCCCGCTGGTGACGCATAGCTGCCTCCCGTCACCTTAATTTCAGAGGCATGGAATCAGGGTGTGCCGATGAGAGTGTAGCAGTAATGGGTCTCCACAGGGAAGGGCAGATGCAGCTGCCCGGCTCGGGGAGGTTTCACGGCCGCAGAGGTAAGCAGGGCCCACTCAAGAGGTCGTGATCAATAAAAGATGCTGTCCTGCCAGGACCGTCAGACAGCCGGCCCGCCACGTCAGACCTCCTCCATCCGTCTGCTCCTTCTCCTCTATTATCCCCCACCAGCACGTCCTGAGTCGCAGCTGAGAAGAAAACTAGCAGCCAGCACATTTGTCATCCTCCTCCCCTCTCCCAAGGACAATAGCGCCTACAATCCCCAAGTGCCCGCTCATGCTCTGGCTCTGCTGCTGCAGTTGACAGACCCGCTCCACGCTGATGAATGTAGACCCTTCAGTCGCCGTAACAACACACCCAGGGCTGACAAGCACGGCTCCGGTTCCTTCTAATGAGCCGCCCCCTCCTCAAGGAGGGCCTGGGGAGTGTCAGTGACTCAGCGTGCTGTGGTGCGTGCAGCTCCGAGGCCAGGCTTCAGTCATTCTCAGAGCAGTTACTGAGCAAACGAGGAGGGCCTGGGGTGATGGAGTGTTGGTGGGAGGGTGGTTGGTACACATCCGGGACTCATCAAAACCTTGACAAAGTGTGGGGCTTGTCAGACAGCAGTTTCCCTAAATCAATTTTTTTTTAAGCCATTTTTTTTAAAGATAATTTATTTTAAGGAAATAAAGACTCTATACCAGGATGTCCATTGTCATGATTTATAATAATCATTAGAAATAATGTAAGTGCCCACAGAGGAATGAGTAAATAAACTATGCCAGCTCTGTTAAGAGACTAGGACACGGCGCAAGTCTGCACTCTGCTGTCTTTTAACTGTGAACCTGGTTAGATGAAGTCTTAAGTTTTTTATTTTATTTTACTGTTTATTTTGGGGCTTCTCAGGTGGCTTAGTGGTAAAGCATCCACCTGTCAATGCAAGAGACGTGGGAGGAGATGCGAGAAGAGATGCGGGTTTGATCCTGGGGTCGGGAAGATCCCCTGCAAAAGGAAATGGCAACCCACTCAAGTATTCTTGCCTGGGAAATCCCAGAGGAGCCCGGCAGGCTCCTGTCCATGGGGTCACAGACTCGGACTCAACTGGGCAACTGAGCATGTGTGCACGCAGTGTTTATTTATTGGGCTGCATCAGATCTTAGTTGCAGCACACAGGAACTTCCTTTCGTCACGCAGAATCTTTCACTGCGGTGCTCAGGCTCTCTAGTTGTGGTGTGAGGGCTCTGGAGTGCGCAGGCCCAGTAGTTGTGGCACATGGGCTTAGTTGCCCTGCATGTGGGATCTTAGTTTCCTGACCAGGCATTGCAGGTTCTGGGGTCACCAGGAAGTTCCCCTTAAGCTTTTTCACCAGTGAAGCCTGAATTTGCAGCACTAGTTTCTTGGGTGGTTACATGAGATGAGTCTGCAGTGACTGACACAGGCCATCATCAAGGTCTCCCTGGATGTTTACCATCCCCCTCAGTAGTGACTGGTAAAAATGGCATGTTTGAAGAATATTTAATGACAGGAAATAAGCGAAGCGTGTAACTTCATGTGATCCAAATGTCGTTACAGATCTGTTTTTATGTGCAGAGGTAAAAAGTCTCAGGGGATGGTTTTGTAGGTGTGTTTTATCTTTTTTTATAGTTTTCAGTATCTTCCAGATATTCTCTGGGAGCCTCTCAGTATTAAAAAGCATATGTATTACATATGTCAAAGCTTATCAAAACATGCACTTCAAATAATGTGCAGCATAGAATATGTCAGTGACGGTTCCATAAAGCAGTTGAAACAACAAACAAATCCCCCTCACTCCCGTCCTGTGCCAGAGTGTTAGAGTTTAGGGTGAGGGCGTGGGGAGGGGGCCCAAATACAGTGGGAGCTGCCATGGCCAAGATGCAGAGTGGACTGAGGGGTGGGGCCAGGAGATGAAGCAGGTGGTCCCACTGGAGTGGCAGGCACCCTTGGATGTCATGGCCGATGCAGTGTGATGGGCAGGTTGCCAGGGGAATGAGGGCTGTTCGGGGGCAGTAGAGGATGGGGTGAACCAACCTGCCTGGGAGGGGGGCAGGGACCTAAGTCTTGAGGACAAATTGAGGAAGCAGCTGAGATGGGGAGGAGTGTGCCAGACAGCAGTGAGAGCCCAGGCAAAGGCATGGGGATGAGCCTGCATGGCGGGGGTGGGAGTGGGGTTGTTCAAGGGGGTTGGCTAGGAAGCAGCCAGCAATCAAGGGCCTGAGTGGGCCATGGGAGGGATGGAGAGCAAGGATGTAGGGTCAGGAGTGGCTGAGTCCGTGTGGTCAAGGGGATGAATCGGGGCAGGGAGGCGGGTGTCTGCCCGGGGGACCACAGCCGGGTGGGGCCGGTGCCTAAGAGCTGGCTGGAACAGGTGCTTTGCAAGGGACCAGGCAGATGAACAGAGGTGCTGCCCTTGGCAGGCGAGTGGGACTGGCTGTTGAGAGCTGGGGTCCATGTGGGTCCCGGAGGCTGGGCAGCACATGGGGAAGCGTGCCAGGTTTACGCTTGTCTCCCTCTCTGCCCTCTGATAGCTCTCTGGCTTTCTGAAGTCTCTTATTCTCTGTAAGTTTCCTGTTTGAAGGATGTGCTTAATCTGTGTGAATTGTCAGCCCTTAGTAACCCTTGTATGTCACCGCCATCAGGCTTCATGCGGTGGCACTAAAGAGGATGTTTTCCTTCTGACCTTTCAGATCGCCAGTGTCCTGACATCCCGGAGCCCCTCTGTGCTCCTCACGCTGGTAAGTGGCTGGTGTTCAGGGACCAGGCAGCATCTGTGCGCGGGGGGAGGGGCTTTGGGGCGCTGCTTGGCTCTGCAGAGGTCAGGGCCTTGGGGTGGCATGGAAGACTGGGCAGCAGTCAGTGGTGATCAGTAGTGACACCTCGGTCTGAATGACTCATTGTGTCCAGGATCACACCCTCCATTCTCCAGTCGCCCTGGGCCGCGTCCTGTCCTGCGGCCACTGCGGATGAGGTGCCGTGCATACTCCAAGAGTTAAAACCTGGCTAGAGGATGTATTTGGGTCAGGTTGAGCTCTCGGGGTTTGTTTATCAATTTGCTTCCACCCTGTGCCTCCCTCATTGTTGATAGAATTTGAAAAACACACCCTTTGCATCAGGCCATGAGGTGCTGGGCTGTGTGGCATCAGATTTGGGACCTGGGGCGCCGAATGACAGAGGACCTGCGGCAGCCTCGGGCTGGCAGGGGTGCACAGTGCACCCCAGCGGGGTGGGAATGCTGGGGCTGTGAAACGGCTCCGAGAAGAAGCCTGCCTTCGTACACTTCTTCAGCCTTGGGGAGCTTCCAATATGAAGAGCGTACAGAAAGTGACCCTTCTCTGCTTTGTTAATTGATTTTTACAGGAATAGTTTTTTCTCAGTTATTTTTGTTAGCACTTCACATGGTCTCTTTTTTCCACCCTGCTGTTTTGATGGCTGAGAAGAAAAGTTAAGATTGTGGTCATAGTGGGTCCAGTTTGTTTTATTTGGGGGGACGCAATCAGACATCCACCTGAAGGTCTTGAGGAAGAATTAAAAGGGGATTTTAAAGGCCTGGCCTCTCTGGGGATAGCAGATTTTCCTCTGAATCTTTTGTTTTCTCTCCTTCCCGGTCTGAGTTCTACTTGGAGTCTCCTTACAGCTAGGGAAAGGAGAGGAATGTAGCAGAGTCCCAGCGTCACCGGGAAAGTCCATCCCTTCCGAGTTGGGTCACACCGGCAGCTCTGGCAGGGTCAGATTTGACAGTGTTCTTGGGACACTGTTCATGAGGAGCGTGTGTGCACACACACGTGTGCAAGGGGGATGGGCCAGACTTGGGGGCAGGGGCTTGTGGTCGACGGTGGTCCCAGGCAGCCCGAGCTGGGGTCAGCAAAGTGCTTGGACGAAGGAGGCCTTGGTTTCCTCTGCTTTTCAAGCTACAGCAGAGAAAGGAGGGTTGCCCTTCTGCTGGGGCCTGGCCTTTCAGGAAGGGATGGGTTGGCTGGGCCAGGGTGGGGGCTCCCGGTCCTTAACCCAGTCCCACAAGGCCCCGTGTGGCAGGTCTATGCCCTCACTCTCCGTCTCTCTCCCCAGCGCGGCGTCAACACCGACAGCGGCAGCATCTGCAGGGAGGCCTCCTTCGAGGGCATCAGCAAGTGAGTCCTGGGGCCCTGGGAACCGTCTTCCTACTCCCTTAGCTCACATCTTCCCCCCCACAGGCCTGACCCCGTCTATTTATATAAACTAGACGCAAAACGCACAAGCAGGGGACTTTCCTTGGCGGTCCATTGGTTAAGACTCCCTGCTTCCAATGCAGAGGGCATGGGTTCTATCCCTGATCAGGGAATAGATCCCACATGCCGCAGAGCATGGCCAAAAAGTTAAAAAGAAAAACAAAAACCAGAAGGATATTTATAGAAAGGGGCTCAATTTGGTACTTTTGAGGAAATGCTTAGAAAAAATTTGCTTACATTCAGTCCAAGTTTGACTTTAAGGACCGATGCTACTTCCCCACGGAGCTCCATCATCAAAGTGCTGGCGACCGGGTGCTTAGGGAGCCCTGGCCACCGGGCACACTCAGCGGGCGGCTGTTTTCCCTCCAGGGACCTGCTCTGACCTTGTGGTCTTCATTCTTACCAGCCCCCTCCCCTCACTCCTGGCCGATGACCCTCTCCCAGTCTGGGTTACAGCTTTCTCCTGTGCCCGCTGCTGCCCCAGTCCCGGGCAGGGGCCCCTGCCTTTCCTGCCCTCACTCCCCAGTGTAGCCCCAGGCAGGGCCCTGGAGCCCTGTTCCCCCCTTAGGCCTCTGTACAGAGGAGGGCAGATGTTGGGCACAGAATCTTCCCTGCCTTGCCACCCTCACGCCCTGGCCCCCAAAGAATGTGGCCAGCCAGACACCCTCGTGTGTCTGGGCTGGCTGCTGACCGGCCCTGGCGGGGACGGGGGGTTATCTGGGGGGCCCCAGGCTGCAGCAAACGAGCCCTTGAGGAGGGCACTACCCCTCAAGGCTGTTGAGTGTGGATGGCTCGCTGGCCTGTTCCTCTGGCCCCAGGCCCCACCCCCCGTACTCTGCACCAGGGCGTCCTCTGTCGTCCTTTGGTGGACTGCGGCGGTGGCAGAGGAAGCGCCTTATAACTATGTATGAGCCGGAGCCATGGGAGTTTGTGCGTATGTGTGATGTAGGGTGATTAGCAGGGATTATGAGCTCATAAATATGTATCACTTCCCCCAATGATAAGAGCGGCTGGGCAGGGAAAGCGGGTATCAGGTTTGCTGCTTTTCATTGCACGAATCTCCGCATCCTCTCGGGAGTTTCCCAGAGCGGCCTACCTCCCACACCAGCGGTGATTAGCCCAGCTCGTTGAAATGCTGGCCGCGGAGCCGCTGTCTCTTCCCCAGGCCCTTGAGAGGGTGGTATGGGCGCAGCCGGCTGCTTCCTGTCCCAAGCCTCCCCTGGTCCCCCAGCATAGCCCGATGCCAGAGCTCCTGTGCCCTGTTCACCTGCCTCCACCAGCACCATGGAACATCTTTGGTCCTTCTGGCTGGCCCCTCTGGTCTCAGCGTGGGTCACTACCTCTTGGGGAGGGCCCCAGGCTGGGCGGAGGGAGGGCTTGCCACGTGATACAGTGAGGCCCCACTCATCCAGAGCCTGGTGTGGAGCCAGTGCTTAGTAAACAGTTACCCATGAGCAAACCCCCATCATGCCCCAGTGCCTCTACAAGCCTCAGTTTCCCCAGCTGTGTAGTGATGACAAGATTTCCGGATGTCAGTGAGCTGTCAGGCTTCGCGGCTGTGGGGTCTTTGCTTGCCCAGCCCCCCAGCCGAGGTCTCTGCTGTGGAGAATGCCTCCCTAGCACCCTGGGCACAGGTGGTAAGGCTGGAGTGGCTCCTGGCTACTCCCTAAAGTTTTCTGGGGGGAGAGGCAGGGGACCCTAGCGACATCATCACTGTCAGTGAGCAGTGAAAGCTGAGGCCCCCTGCCCACTCCCCCTGGGAGGATTCCCGCTGTGGACCGACCCCTCCCTCCATGGAGGAGACCCAGCCTCTGTTCCCTGCTGCCCCCAGAGTCGCCATGGTCCCTGCCAAGAGCTCAGAGGAGCCTGTGCTCGGCCAACACTCCACCCCACTGTGGGATGCTTTTTGGAGAGCCAGGGCCTGCCTTATCTTTGCACACGCTCTCAGGCACTAGATTAGCTCTCTCCAATCCATGGTCCAGTCCAGACAGGGGCTGGCTATGGGCTGCTCCCCAGGCCCCTCACTGCTGGACTGAGTGCCGCCCCCATACTCGGTGGATTCATTTCCATGCCCACGTGGCAGCAGAGTTTTTTGACTTGGCTGCAGGTGAGAGCCCTCCCTGCCTTGGGGTCCCCAGGCCCACCTGCAGTGCTCACCTCTCTCCTGTCCCCTCACACCTCCCGCTGGGCCCCACACCCCAGTGTGGCAGCCTTCACGTAGCTCTGCCCTCCAGGGTTGCTCCATTTGGGTGCCCTCACCCCGCATGCCGTGATCACTGACCTCGGGTCCCCTGCCAGCACCTTCCCTATGGAAAAGTCATGTTCAGATTCCTGGAGTCTGGGTGCAGTCCAGCCCGCTGCCGGCACTCTAGTTCTGCCACCTCCCGGACCCTGTTTCCGGGCTGGCGGGGCCCTTGTCCTCCAGAGCCCCGGGGCTCAGTGACCGAGTTCACCTGCCTGCCGCGAGCCTCTCCAGCTCTTTTCGGGGATAATAATAGCCTGTTTCCTAAGCAAGATGAATCTTGCTGTCGTCCTAGTTTTCAGTACTAAGCTGCTGCTATCCTCGGTCACTTCTCACTGCCCTAATGAAGTGCCTCATTCCTGGAATTTTGTTTTTAACCGTTTTGAACTTCTCTGCAAACCTCCCACCTTAGATCCTTATTTGACCTCTGGCAGAAGTTCAGGATCTGGCCTCTCAATTTGTCCTAATGGGCCACCCCCAGCCACCTTGATCCCTTAACTTGGGGTAGGAGGGAGCTTGTGGCAGAACCATGGCCTCACCTGTCCACCCATGCCTGACCCTCCTGGCCCTGGTCCAGCCTAGTGATCGGCCTGTGACTGTCTCTTCAGGCGTGGCTCCTCAGGGTTGGCTGCCTCGGGCCTGACACTCTGTCGGAGGCGGGGGTAGCTGTGGGTTTGATCCTGGGAGCCTTTGGGCCTCCCTCAGCCTTCCCAGATCAGGGCCAGGCCTCCTGCTGCCCACGGCAGGGTTTGTACCAGGCAGTACAGTGGTGGCATCGGCAGAGAATCGGGGAGCAGGGAGGCAGAGGCAGGCTGGGGGCGGTAGACGTGTGCTGGGATCTCCCCATGGCCTGGGGCCCCTGGACTCATCAGGGAGGTACCGTCTGCTTCTGGGACACGCCCCACCCTCATGGGCTCTGGTGGGCTTTGTTTTTGTTTTTTACATAATTATGATATGCTCGCACAGAGAGCTCTTAACTCACACAGAGGCGAAAGCAAGGTGGGGCTTTGTCCTTCCTGGGGGGCAGGGTGTGCTATGCTGGGCTGAAGGGAGCGGGGTGGGGGCAGGCCTCCTGCTCAGCTGGACTCTGGCCCAGGCCACAGCTCCCACGAAGGTGCAGGAGGAGCAGGCCCTGCAGGGGCTCTGGACACAGGGTAGGGTCCAGCATTCATTGCCAGGTGCTGGCGAGGGCAGGGCCAAGGCTGGTCTGTGGAGAGGACAGCTCTGCAGTAAACACGGCTTCTTCCCGCGGGCTGCACGTATCACCAGGCCTGCCGAAGCAGGTTCCTGCAGCCTGGGCTCCAAGGCAGACATGACATGAGTCTTTGTTAGCAATCTGAGGGGGTAGACTTGATTTTCCTGAGAGACAAACAGACCCCGGCTCTGAAGGGAGCGAGATTATCTGTGGGGGGCCATCCTTCTGGCCTGAGACCGCTCCTTCCGAGGCGGGCAGGCTGCCCTGGAGCCCCAGGCGGGGGCCATCAGTTCAGAGCACTTTGTTTCACGCCGTTGTCTGACAGAGAAATATGGTCAATATTTTACATCAGCTGGTTGTTCAGGATAAGCATATTTCTTATCTTTTGGCATTTACTTAAATTGGCTTGCGTACTTGAAGACAATCGGTTACAAATTAATTCCATTTAAATAAGCGGTTAAATATGAAGTTGCTGAATTGGGGGGTTATTAATACAGGAATATTAATGTTCAGAGATGTGAATTTTTAAACCCAAGAAATAGAAGAACATTATTAAAACTTGACAATTACAATAAAATGCCGGTCTGTGATGGGGGGACCCGTGGCTTTCTGGTTCCTGTTAACGTATGTATCAAGGTAGCAGTTCAGATTGAGGTTCTGATTATGGCTCATGGAACTTTCATGAGTCTCCTGAAGAGACAAGAGCCCGTCCCAGCCCCCAGAGTTGGTGGAGTGGGAGGCCTTCGGGGCCTGTTCTCCATCCTCAAGTTGGGAACTAGGGAGGAGCCTGGGGGCTGGGGCAGGGCTGGCTGGGCCCATACTGCTCGCTTTCCATCATCCAGCCCTCAGGTGGAGCCCACCGGGGAGGCACCCTCTGCTTCTAGGACACTCTTCACCCTCGTGGACTCTGGTGGGCTTTGTTTTTTTTTTCCCACATAATAATTACATGTTCATTGTAGAAAGGTCTAACTAGCACAGAGGTAAAAGCAAGGAGCGTTTCAATTTCATGACCCTAAGTTAAACCATCGACATTATAGTGAACGTCTTTTGGACTCTTATGTGTGTGTCCAAGTGTGATTCTCTGAGTGTTTTTGTGTCTGAGTGTGCATGTGTGTGAATCTGTATATTTCTGTATGTGTGTATATTTGGATGTGGATCTTTGTTAGTCTAAGTGTATGCCTTTTTGTGTGTGTATTTGCCCATGTCCGTGAATATACATCCATGTGTGTGTCTGCATGTGCCTCTTTTCTAAGCATATGCCTGCCTGTGCGTGTGTCTGTGTGTCTGCATCTGGGTCTTTGTGCTGGGTCACCTTGCTGTCTGTATGTGTGTATGAGCACGTGTGTATATGTATGTATGTTTTGTAATGTGAGATTTTATTGGCATGTTTGGCTTTTGAAGAGATAGGCCATTGCTTTTCCCGGCATCAAAGTGACATTTGGCAGAATGGGAGACAGAATCTCTATTGCCATCTTTATTTATGTCATCTGCTTCTCTGTTCTTCACTCTGTGCCACATTGGCTGTCTGTGGTCGCTTTGATATTTCACAAGTAGGGCTTGATTCTACAACATTTTGCTTGACTTTGCAGTAAGTAGTCTTATTTTTCTAGTTAGGGATCCTGAAAGCTTTCATACTGTGAAAACCTCTCAGCCTGCCAGTACCTCCTTCTCTCTCCTCTCCCCTTTCCCTTTCTCTTCTTCAGCTAGGAGTGGGGGTGCTAGCTACACAACCAAGGCATTAGATAGGTGTTTTCAAACACCCGTCACTGAGGCCCTGGAGAATTCCTGATTGCTCACAATCCTCTATGCCCTGCATGTAATCTCCTGGCTTGAGATGGAGCAGGATGAGTCCCGAGGGTCGAAGGCCTGCCAAGGCTTCTCTGCTGAGGCCCATGCGTTGTGCCGGGCCACATTGCGCTTCCCCGGCTGTCTCACTGATAGCTTGAGCTCTGAGTCATATGTGACACCAGTGTCAGGGGTTTGCCCCAGCCTGATCTTTTTGTTTCTTGGGTTCCGTTTCCAGTTATGTTCATTTTACCAAAGAACAACTTGGTTTTTCTCAATTACATGTTTGCTTTCTATTTCATTGATTTTTGCTTTGAAAAGTTTCTAATCTCTTTACATTTTGTTTGTTCTTTCTCTAGCTTCTTGAGAAAGAAGAAAGGCTTTCTTCTTTTTGTTTCTTCTTTTGGTTTTCAATTTTTCTTTTCTACTATCTACATTTAGAGCTTTAAATTTTCCTCTAAGCACTGCTTTAGCTGCAGTTCACCAGTTAGGATATTTCATGTTTTTATTTTCTAATTTTATTATTATCTCTTCTTTGAAGAGTGGATATTTAGAAGTTTATTGCTTAATTCTCGATTTTGGATTTTATATTTTTCTTTCTGTTACTGATTTCTAGTTTAATTCTATTGTAATCAGTGAATGTTCTCTGTATTTCAGCCCTTTGAAATTTGTTGGAACTTTCTACATATGATCATTATGATAAGTGTTTCATGTGTACTTAAAGAGAGCACAGTCCACAGCATGTAGGTTGTAGTGTTCTGTATATGTCAATGAAGTTAAGTTGATTAATTGTATTGTTTATATCTTCTGCATCTTTACTGATTTCTCTGTTTGCTTGTTCTGTCATCGGAAGAGGTATGTGAAAATCTCAAACTATTCTTGTTGATTTATCTGTTTCCGTTTCTGTTCTGAGAATTTTTAGAGATCAATTTTATTAGAATAAAATTTGTATGTAATAAAATTAATTATGGATATATTCAGTAAGTTTTTAAAAACAGTTTTGTCAGGATATAATTCATATACCTTACAATTGACTCACTTAAACTATACAATTAAATGCTTTTTGTATGTTTATAGATTTGTGCAATTATCATCACAGCCAACTTTATAATATTTTCATCATCCATAAAGAAACCCCATATCCATTAGCAATCATTCCCTTCCCCACCGCTAATCTACTTTCTATCTTTGTAGATTTGCCTACGTTCGTATTTTATATAAATGGAATCCTGCAATAAATGGCCTTCTATATCTGGCTTCATTCACTTACTGTGCTTTCAAAATTCATCCATATTGTAGCATGAATCAGTACTTTGCTCATTTTTACAGCTGAAAATATTCCAGTCTATGGATGTATTGGTTTCTGTTTGCATAATATATCTTTTCCTATCCTTTCACTTTCATCTTGTGTCTTTGAGTCTAAAGTATCTCTTTAGAGCATATAGTTGAGTTATTTTATGCATCTATTCTGTAAATCCTTGTCTTCTAATTAGAAATTTTAATCCATTTACATCTAAATTACTGATAATGAAGATCTTTTTTATGCCATTTTGTTTTTAGTTTTATGTGTCCTATATTATTTTTATTTCTCAGTTTCTCCATTACTCTCATTCTTTATGTTTAAGGTTTTTGCAGTATTCAGTTTTGATTCCTTTTTTATTTTGCTTTCTGTACATTTTAGTTATTTTCTCAGTGGTTACCCAGAGGATTGCAAATGACCTCTTAAACTTATAATAATATAGTTTGCATTAATAGCAGCTGGTTTCAGTAGTCCACAAAAAGTATGCTGTCTTCCTTTGTGCTGTTATTGCATACAGATTGCATCTTTATACATCTTGTGGTGATCTACATAGGTTTATAATTATCGCTGTATGCAATTGTCTTTTAAATCAGATAGGAGAAAACTAGGACTTACAAACAAATAATTACACTGTTCCTATACTTGCCTATGTAATTACCCCTGCCTTTTTTCTTCTCATTTGAATCCTAGTTACTCTAGTAATTCCTTTCACTATAGTCTGAAAGATCCCTTTTGAAATTTCTTTTAGGCTAGATCTTCTAGTGATGAATTCTCTCAGTTTTCATTTATCTGGAACTGTTTTAATTTCTTTCATTATTGAAGCATAGCTTTGCTGGATATGGAATCTTGATTGACAGATTTTTTTTTTCTTTTAGCACTTTGAATATGTCATCTTGTATTCTGTCTAATGGCTTCTGTAGTTTCTGATGAGAAATCAGCCATGAATGTTATTGAAGATCCTTTGTATGTGATAAATTTATTTTCTCTTACTGCTTTTAAGATTTTCTTTTGACAGTTTGATCATATGTCTGGGAGTGAATCTCTTTGAGTTTATCCTACTTGGAGTTCGTTAAGCATTATGGAAATTAACACTGATACTTTTCATTAAATTGGGAAAGTTTCTGGCCATGATATTTTCAAATATTCTGCTTCACTATCACTCTCCTTTTCTTCTGGGACTTCTATTATGTACATGTTGGTACACTTGATGGAAGCGGCTATGCTCCCTGTGTAGTGAGGGTGGAAGATTGTGTTTTGCAGCCAAGCAGCTTGTTCTCCAACTGACTGCACTTGGAGGACATGGCCTGAGCTGCCAAGTCTGCTGCAGGAAGTGAGCAGCAGGCCTTCTGTTGTCCAGAGAGTCATGAAGTTAAAGTTCTCTTGATCAGATCTTCTCTCGGTATGTCTTTTATTCATTTATTTATTTATTTTTGGCTGTGGTGAGTCTTCGTTGCTGCATAGGGTTTTCTCTAGTTGTGGCTAGCGGGAGCTGCTTTCTAGTTGTGGTGCATGGACTCCTCATTACGGTGGCTTCTCTTATTGCAGAGCATGGGCTCTGGGACACTTGGGCTCATAGTTGTGGCTCCCCGGCTCTAGAGCACAGGTTTAATAGTCCTGACACACAGGCTTAGTTGCTCCGAAGGATGTGGGATCTTCCCGGATCAAGGATCAAACCTGTGTCTCCTGCTTTGGCAGGTGGATTCTTTACCACTGAGCCACCAGGAAAGCCCTCTTGATGTGTCTTGAATGAAATATTTCTTGCTGGGAGATGAATAGACCGTTGAACTGATGGACTTGACTTGTTTTCTCTCCGTAGGTTCAATGTCAACAACACCATTCTTCATCCGGAGATCGTGGAGTGGTGAGTGTGGCTTGTGGCTGTTGGTTGTGCTCAGCCCAGGAAGGGGAGAGACCCCGCTGTTCCCACCCACCCTGTCTCAGGGAGCCCCTCAGGCAAGCTGGTCGCTAGAAGCTCTTCTCTCAGCCTCTTCTGTTTTGTTCTTTTGTCGGTTGGTCTGTTTTTCCAGAAGGGCACGAGTCACTCGAGTGTCAGTTGTATTTCTCTCTTTATTTAGAAGTTTTTAAAACAAAATCTTACTGTAAAGGAGCCAAAGTTACATAGCTCAGTTAAAGTTGATAGTGAAAGGAATAAAAGTAAACCTCATACATAATTCCATTACCCAAAAGGCAAGCGTGTTCTCCTCATGTCACATGTGTGTCTTGACTAGTTGGCCTCCTTTTCATGTGTCTTATGTTGCCTGCTCGCTTCCCCGGCCGGTACCAGTAGCCCCTGCCTGCCGTGTTGTTTCTGTTGGGTCACAGCAGGGCGACGTGCCTCCAGTGGGTCCCAGAAGAGACCCTTCAACTCTGATCGCTGCCAGTTTTCCTACGCCATCGAGGTGCTCTTGGGTAGCACTAAAACATGTTTTATTTGTCATGTGGCTGCACTTATTGTGAAGGGAGGAGAGAGGAGAGGCAGGGCCTTTGCCACATTATCCCCTGACTGGGAGGTGTGTGGATGCCTCACATCTGACCCTAAGACCATTCGTCAAGTTCACCATCTGGTTGGGAGACCTTGCCCATCTAGTCTTGGGAACACTGTGGCCTGAGGGTGAGCACGGGTTGGCTCATGAGGTTGGGGGCAATGCAGAGCAGGGGAGGAGAGCATAATCCAGGCCAAGGGGCCACTTGTTCAAAGGCTGGAGACGAGAAAGGTTGGTGGCTCTGTGGCCAGCCTAGGGCCACTCACTGTGGAAGTGACCCCTGAGGTTGGTCAGAGAGACGGGCAGGGGCCAGGCGGGCCATGCTGTCTGCCCAGACCTTGTCTTGAGACAGTGGAACCAGGAGAGTGGTGGGATCAGGTTTGTGACTTTTTAAGTCGTGGGGCAGGAATGGGAGCAGGCTGCCAATTAGGAGGCTGCTGCAGGGTTCAGATGGCTGTTGGGGGCGGCGGGGGGAGGCGGGCGGCGGGCGGGGGGTAGGTGGCAGAGTTGAGAGTAAAGGGCAGTCAAGCAGAATGCTCCTGAGAGGAACTGGCCTTGATGCCTGAGTGAAGGGCACAGTTGAAGGTGACTCTGGGTTTTTGTCCTGATTAGCTCTGGGTGGTGTGTCACTGAGATGGGGCCGGTGCTGTGGCTGATGAGGGACTTGTTTGTGGTGTGCTGAGTTTGAGGCAGGTGCCAGTGGGAGAGAGGCTGAGCCAGGGGCGAAGATCTGAGGGCTGTCGACTGGCATCGGTACCAACCCTTGGGAGAGCTGGGGGCAGGCGGGCCAGCAGCTCTGTCGGCAGCCCTGGCCCAGTGCCTGGCACGGCTGCACACTTGGAGCATGAGGGCCTGTGTCCTGCCAGTTCACAGCCACCTCTTCTTGTTTTTTTTATTTATTTTAAAAATATTTATGTATTTTATGTATTTATTTGGCAGTGCCGGGTCTTAGTTGCAGCAGGCGGGATCTTCCTTATGGCATATGGACTCTTTAGTTTCAGCATGCAGGAGTTGTTAGTTGCAGCATGAGAACTCTTAGTTGCAGCCTGTGGGACCTAGTTCCCTGGCTGGGAATTGAACCCAGGCTGACTGTGTCGGAAGCACAGGATCTTAGCCAGTGGACCACCAGGGAAGTCCCCCATCTCTTACTGTTTATATGAAGTAACATGCCTGGCCCCTCCGTAGCCCGAGGCCGGCAGAAAAATAAATCCTGGATGCCCACGAACCGTGTCTGCTCCTCCCCATGACATCCCTCACAGCTGCTGACACTCCGGGTGCTTTGGAGACCAGAGCTGGTTGTGCACCTCACATCTCCAGAGGGACAAGTCATTAGTTCGTCATTTTGGAACAAGCACACTTTAATTCTAGTGACATTTCCAATGCTCTGAGGTAGATCCTGCACTCATAAACTACTTCCCAGTCTTATTAAAGCCTTTAGCAGAGAGGACTTACTTGGCATTTGATGGCCATGGAACTATTTTAGAAATGTCACACCATGCTTACAGCCTCAGGGGTGTGTTTAGCAGCGTGCGTTCCAGCCTCTGTAGTGACTGCAGTCATTCTTGGCGGGCTTGGTCACCATCCTCGCCCTCCTCTCTGGTCACTGACGGAAGGACTCTGGGTGGGACGGTGGGCAGGCAGAGACTGGCCTTCCGTGATGTTAAATTATGGCTCATTGATGTGTCTTCAGGCCCTGTGTCCTGGCTGCTTTTACCACCCTCTTTCTCTCGGCTCCACAGAGAGAAGTTACCTGGGGTGATGGAAGTAGTGTCCAGTCAGGCATATCCAAATTCTATCCTCAGCCCATCTTTACACGCCCTCTCGCCCCACGGGAAGTCATTTAACTTTTGTGAGCCTCAGCTTCTACATCTGTAAAATGGGGATGTAATGCCTAACTCACAGCATGCATGTGAAGATGCGTGTTGCCTAACAATTACCACAGACTGAGTGGCTTATAAGCAACCAAAGTTTATTTCTCACAGTTCAGAAGACTGGGAGGTTCAAGGCCAAGGCGCGGGCCCACTGTCTGGTTCATAGACGGTGTCATAACATTGTGTCCTCAAGTGGCAGAAGGGGTAAGGGAGTCCACTAGAGTCCTCTAGTGTTCTTTTATAAGGGTACTAATCCCCATTCATGAGGGTTTCTACCCTCATGACCTAAAGCACCCCACAAAGTTGCTACCTCCAAACACCATCACACTGGAGATAGGTTTCAACCTATAAATTTGAGGGGAACACAGCATTCAGTGTATAACACACCACACCTCAGTTTCCTCAACTGCAAAGTAGATGTGGTCTCCCTTGGTGAATGGCTCAAAGACTGAGGGCAAAAGTCAAGTGACAACACATCCTGATAATAATGGCAGTCACTTTTTTTGGCTGCACTGGGTCCTCATGGCAGCTCACGGGCTCCCAACATGTGGGAATTATGGCTTCCCAGGTGGCACAGTGATAAAGAATCTGTCTGCCAATGCAGGAGATGTAGGTTCAGCCTCTGATTTGGGGGGATCCCCTGGAGGAGGAGGTGGCAACCCACTCCAGTATTCTTGCCTGGGAAATCCCATGGACAGAGGAGCCTGGTGGGCTACAGTCCGTAGGGTTGCACAGAGTCAGACACAACTGAGCAACTGAGCATGCACATGTGGGATCTTAGTTCCCCGACCAGGGATTGAACCCACGTCTGATGCATTGGAAGGTGAATTCCTAACCCCTGGACCACCAGCTGTCACCTTTTGAGGCTTCCTGTGTCCCAGGTGCTGTGCTAAGCACTCGACACCCATCACCTCATTTGAAGAGACATTTTATTTATGTTATAAGGTAGGACTCTGATCATCCCCATGCTGCAGGTGGGCAGACTGAGGCACAGGGAAATGATTTGCCCAAGAAGAGGCCAGGAGCTGAGCCCAGGCCAGTGGCTCCAGGCTCAGATACCACCCCATGTGGCTCTGAGGAGCATCTTGTGGCGTGCAAGTGCTGCCTGAGTGTCAGCCACTGTCGGTTCATTCTTGGCCACCCGACATGCTCAGAGCCCCTGGAATAGATCTCATGTGAGGCCAGGGTGTGGTGGGGTGGAAGAACCATGCCCTGCTACCCACATGCACCCCAGCTCCCAGGTGGCAGCTGGCCTGGGGATTTGGGATCCTTCCTGGAGACTGACTGATTCAGAGGCCTCTCCTAGCACAGGAGAAGCTTCCTTTCCCATTTATGTTTGGGTGTCATTCATTTCCTTCCTATGACTGCTTTTATTGTTTTCCATTCACTCGAGCAGTACCTTTTTGATTTCTTGTAAATTCCTCTATAATCATACTCTTCTTCCCCCACAAACATGCGATCATAACTGATCATTTCTTTCCTTACGCTGGGTATTGCAGTGGGAACATGGAGGTCAAAAGTTGAAACTTAATAAGAGCAGGCGTCTCACTTCCATAATTTAGGCTGTGGTTCTGCTTTCCTGTTCGGCGGATGATTAAATTGATCTGAAGGTGGGTGAGGAAATAAAAGGAGATGCCTCTGTGCTGTCTAATAGCTCGGTGCTGTGGGTTTTAGTTCAGCACCTCTGGAAACGTCACAAAAGAGCAAGCATGTCAGCCATTGCCACATACCTTCTCAGGTTTTAAGTGAGACCGTGTTAACTTGAGTCCTATGCCAGTGTTGGAGCTGTTAATGACACTGGGCGGAGGTGGCCTCTGTGTATTCATCGGGCAGTGGGGTGACCCTTCTGTTTCTACTGCCCTGCCTTTCTGTGCCCAGGAGATAGTGAGGTGTGGATGGTTAGGGGCAGACGTGCATCAGGATCCTGCATCCTGGGTAACGTCTCCCAAATTAGAAAGGGTACCTGGATGATGACCTAGATTCTCTGCTGTGTATGTGGAAAGTATTCTGGTAGGATTGCTGTCTTTGCCTCCTTATGAATAGGCATTTAGCCCTCAGTCAACCAGAAAGCGGAGTGGAAAGTGGGGACCTGAGATTAGAGGGAGAACCTGGCTTACCATGGGCCAGAAGGCTGGACACAGGATATGGGGGCGTTAGGCCCCGGTCCCAGCCCTCCCCCCACGTGGGCCACGACTGCCTGGCCCCCGTCAGTTTTCAGGCACTCTCAACTCCCAGCTGAGCTCAACCACTGTTTTCTTTCTTCGCGGCTCTGGTTTCTCTGAGAGGACTTATTGATCGAGCCTCCTGAGAATATGTAATTCCAACCAGCTCTTTCCTTTCCCTCCCTCCTGTTGTTCCGGGATTTTACCCTTTTCGTCCCTGGGTCGCGGCGTAGGGAAGGAATGGCCACGTGGGTGCGGGGGTATTGAAATCCTGCCCATGGCTCCCACAGAACTTGCCTCTGCACATCCATCTCTGGGAGAGACGGAATTCCTGTCCCTTTCAAA